CTTTTCCCCACTCAATGTTTTTAATCGGCTTGTCAAAGATCAGGTACCGGTAAGTAGTTGGTTTCATCTGTTGGCTCTCTATTCTGTTCCATACATCTATCTCTCTATTTTTGTGCCAGTACCATGCTGTTTTGATCACTATGGATTTGTAGTATAGTCTGAGGTCTGGTGGAGCCAAAGGTTTTTACAGACTAATCTCAGCACCTGATGAAGGTGCTGTGTGGTAAGCTCAGCAGTTGGGAAGCACGTGATTTCTTAGGCAGTGGCTTTTGGCACAGATGTCAAGCCCATCCCAGGACCGCCATAGTGTTTATGAAGTGAATTTTCAACATGAACAAATAGAAAATTATCCTCCATTATATTTTGAGTGTTTGAGGTTGTGTAGGGGGGAGGAGCAGGGGAGCAGAAAGGGTAGTGGTATGACAGCTGCAGAGAGAAGATTACAGAAAGTTTGGGAATTTTGATGATTCCATTTTACTTTTGTCTTCTAGCTGCTAGGTCAAGCAGCTCGAAACATGGTACTACAGGAAGATGCCATCTTGCATTCCGAAGATGTAAGAAACAATTTCTTTTGTGATTTGGGTTTTATGTAAATAGTTTGTGTGGCTATAGGGAAGTGGAATGTTCTGTTTTTCTTTTTTAATGCAGAGTTTAAGGAAAATGGCGATAATAACAACACATCTTCAGTATCAGTAAGTATGCCCTTTCCAACAACTACTTGCTGCAAAATCATTATCCTCAGCCTGCTTTCACAGCCTTTGTGCTTTAGCACATTTCTCCTGTGGAGGCAGGAGTGGGAATGAAGGTGGGGTAGTCACTTTCCCGCTGTGGAAAAGGTGTCTGAGACTCGGAAGTAGTTAGGGTAGGAGATGAGATCAGGAGCCACCACCTTCTATGAACCTGCCCATGTTAATTCGAGGGCTCCTCAGTGGGAGAGGCTTCCTGTAAGAGCAGGGCCCAACCCAGGACCATATACTACCATATACTTGGTACCTCTGAGGCAGTTTCTCAGTATTTGACTTTCGCTTGGGGTGGGGGAGGGTTTGATTTGCCTCTGTGAGGCAATCAAGTGTAACTGTAACCTGTATCCTATATTTCCACATATAACACAGCACTCTCTACATACAAATCTAGGAAATTTTGCAATACAGAGACCTCTTCCATTATAACTTTGCATAAATGTATAATTTGCTTTTCACTGTTGGGCACAGAGGCTCACGCCTGTAATCCTAGCTAGCACTCTGGGAGGTGCAGATGGGGGGATTGCTTGAGCTCAGGAGTTGGAGATCATCCTGAGCAAGAGTGAGACCCTGTCTCTACTAAAAATAGAAAAATTTGCTGGGTGTCATCTGTGTACCTCTAGTCCCAGCTACTTGGGAGGCTGAGGTAAGAGGATCACTTGAGCCTAAAAGTTTGAGATTGCTGTGAACTATGATTCCATGGCATTCTACCCAGGGTGACAGAGTAAGACTCTGTCTCAAAAACAAAAAAAATTTGCTTTCACCTTATTTCATATTTTATGTAGCTAATATTATATTTATGTATCTTTTGGTAATATATGGTTAGGAATGTAACTCTTGATAATTAAATAGTTGTTGATCATATTCATTCTTTGGGTGTCCACATATTAGATATATGACCATTTGACTCCATATACCCAGATACAATTTGCGCCATACATGTCGTTTTTTGGGTTACATCCCTCACTCTGAAAGCTATTACTACCTCTGTAGGTTTAGAATCTATCTTTTCAGCAGCTCTGTACTCAGATAGGAATTCCTGTTCAATAGCACAGTCTTAGGATAGGATTCAAATATAGAAAGTGACATAAGCTGGAAATTTGTTCTGCTTATATAGTATATGTCTGGCCATAAATAACTTCAGCTAGATCACTGGGTTTTCTTATGTTTATTTTCTTCTTTCCTTTTCTGATTTAGGCAAGAAGCTATTCAGAAGAAGTAAGTAACCCCAAAGGCAGGGGAGTGGGGAACCAACTGAAGCAGGCTGGGGGAATTATACTGCTGGGTCCAGGATCAATGCAAAATTCTGGTTAACATACATCCTTAAATTGACATATGCTCTGGAACAGCCCTGTCAGGATTTAAAGAATACAATGTATTTTAAAAGCATGCAGTAACTTAATTCACTGCTAGTAGAGGCTTTTAAACATTACAGGGTATAGGGGCTAAACTTAAGGAAGAGAAAATCTTTTGCTTTAATAATATTTGTGAAATAGAATGTGTTTAAATGTGTTGAATCCATTAAATAAAGCCAGGCCTGTTGGCTCACGCCTATACTCCTAGCACTCTAGGAGGCAGGGGTGGGTGGATTGCTTGAGCTCAGGAATTTGAGACCAGCTTGAGCAAGAGCGAGACCCCATCTACTAAAAGAAAAAACTAGCCAGGCATCTTGGTGGGCACCTTGGTCCCGGCTACTTGGGATGCTGAGGCAAGAGGATCTCCTGAGCCCAAGACTTTGAGGTTCTTGTGATGATGTCATGGCACTCTACCCAGGGTGACAGAGTGACACCCTGTCTCAAAAAAAAAAAAACAAAAAACCATTAAATAGTCTTGTTTTCTTAAGCAGATTAACTTTGTCCCTTTCTGTATTGTTTATACTATTAATTGGCATAGCAAACCTTTCTTCATAGTTTAAACACTTATGAGCCCCAGGTGGACCAATATAAGTTTTAGCTACAACAGAATTTATACATTAAAATATAATTGTTTGTACAAAAAGATGTCTTTCTCATTCAGATAAATTCTTTCTCTACTCTAATTTCTAGTGTTGAACAGTCATCAGATCTACAAGACCAGCTGAATCATCTGTTGAAATAAAATGGCATATAAATGGGCAATAGCACTTCCTTCGCCTAATGCTGAGGAAGAAATAGCATACACAACCATTATGCTTTGGGTTTGGCTTTTTATTTTCTTCTCTAAAAGTTAAGTTTTCAAAGATTTGTGTTGATGTAAAGTTTCTCTGGGAAAGAAACAGAGACCTCTGTTGGAAACACTGTTGAATCGGACTTACCCATGCTCTTATTGAAGTTTTTAAGTTGCTCTGTTTAATTGTTTAAATTAAAAGACATCTTAGTTTTTCTGAAAGAATTTTTTAGACAGTATGTTGCTATATTGTGCAGGCTGATCTGGAACGCCAGGCCTCAAGCAGTCTTCCTGTCTCAGCCTCCCTAGTAGCCAGGATTATAGGTTCCAGCCACTGTGCCCAACTCTAGAAAATTTTTTTTTTTTTTT